ATGATGATGATGGAGATGATGATGATGATGGAGGAGGATGGTGGAGGAAGTGGTGGTGGTTTGAAGGAGGAGGAGGAGCAAGAGATTGAAGAGAATGAGGGGAAAAGCGAAGGGTTGAGGGTCGACCCACCACATCGTTGCTCATCAGATGTAGCGTATTGCGACGGAAATGAACGTCTTGGTACGAAAAACGACTTGTCTGAAAAAGGAGATGAAGCATGCAGAAGGAAAATGCAAGGAGAGGGGAGAGAGGAGAGAGGAGAGAGGAGAGAGGGAGGAGAGAGGAGAGAGGAGAGAGGAGAGAGGAGAGAGGAGAGAGGGAGGAGAGAGGAGAGAGGAGAGAGGAGAGAGGAGAGAGGAGAGAGGAGAGGAAGAAATCAAAATGAAAAAGAAAAGGAGGGGCAGTACAAAGAAACAGAGAGAATAGAATGGCAAGAGAAGAACAGGTCAGTAGCAATTAATTCAGGAGAAGCTTCGTTCACCTTCTGTGTGTAAGCTCTCTCAAAAATCCCAGCAAACTCACTGAGCCTGTCTGTAAAGTTGCGTTTGTTTTCTTCCTTCCCCCTTCCATCCCCCTCGTCCTCCTCCCGCAGGACTTCGATAGAGGAGAACAGATAGCGGCTGATCCCTTCCTCTCCCTTCCCACGTCCTTCAATTCTGCGGGCATGCAGCACGTCCTCCTTCAGCCCCTCACCAGAGACATTGAAGATGACTTGTGCATCCTCCACGACCCGCGAGAGCTGGAAGCATGGAATCATCCCTCCCTCCCTCCCTCCCTCCCTCCCTACTTTCTTCCTCCCTCTCTTCGCCCCCCCCCTCCTCCTCCCTCCCTCCTCTCCCTGGCTCCCTGGCTCCCCTCTCCCTGGCTCTCTTCTCTCCTCCTCTCACCACTCGGAAGCTTTGTGCTTCAGGGGAGTGCAGGATAGCGCGTTTGAGGTCCTCCAGCTTTGTTTTCCAGCACATGTAGGCCGAGAGGTAGTGCAAAATGTCCTGCAGGGAGGATGAGGAGACGAAGAGTTGAGCAGGAGAAGGTGACAGGGAGGGAGCAAGAGAGGGCACGGGGACACTGGCACAAGGAAACGAAAGACAGGAGGAGGAGGAGGAGGAGGAGGAGGAGGAGGAGGAGGAGGAAGAGGAGGAGGAGGAGGAGGAGGAGGAGGAGGAGAAAGATTGAAGAAGAGGGGGGAGGAGGAAGCAAACGAACGGGGAAACGAGATGGGGAGGGGAAATGGGTGAAGAGGGGGAGGAGGAGGAGAAATCACCCCAGTCGACGGTTTTCTGTTGAGATAGGAAACAAAGATCTCAACGATTTGAGCTTCTGCTCCTTCCAGAGTCTCTCCATCCATGCTCCTCATCTCAGACAACGCTGCCCTCACCCTGTCCCTCTCCTCCTCCTCCTCTTCCTCCTGTGCCCCCTCGACCCTGGCAGCCTCGTTCCCCCCTCTCCTCCTCTGCTCTATATCCTTCCCTCTCCGAATCAGGCGCTCGATAAAATCCACGAAGTTCCGGCAGGTTTCGTGGATGTACCGCAGGGAGCACAGGCAGTAGTTGGACTCGCTCCGTGCCAGGTCGTCGTTGAGCAGAATCGCGTGTCTGACCATCCTCTTCTTGTATTGCACAAACTCGCTCTCCTTGTCCCCGCTGCGAACAAAGGTCACCCTACTGCTGGAGTCCAGGGGGCATTAGAGAGGAGGAGGCGCAGGAGGAGAGAACAATCAAGGCGCTCCAGGGACGGGGACGGAGTGTGAAGGATGCAGCGAGAGAACACAAATGAAGCCGGCGAAAGATTGGAACCCGACAGCGCACACTTGGGAGGAGGAGGATGTGGACAAGCAGGAGGGAGAAAAAGCCGGAGAAGCAGGAGAAGAAGCAGGAGGATGCCGGCAGGAAGAGGATGATGGGCAGGAGGAGAGGGATGGGCAGGAGGAGGAGGAGGATAGGCATAAGGAGGAGGAGGAAGCGAGGGCTGAGTGACTACCTATCGACTGGACAATTCTGAAACAAGTCCCCAGGGTTCGCCTGCATGGAGAGGACGAGGAGCAGCTTGTTGTTCTGCGCCTCAGTCTCCGACGAGTCAATCTCGATGATGGGGAGGCGAGCGTAGCATGCGCGAAACTGCTGATCGAGAGCGCTCGCTGCCTGAAACCAGAACTCCGATCCAGGAGTGAAGATGTCCCCAAGCAGCATGACGTTAGCATCCCCCGCCAGGATCAGTTTCATGCTCTCCCGCAGAATGATCTCCATGTGGGGAAAGTTGTCGATCACCTCCATCTCCTCCAGCTCCTTCATGTCTATGTCCACTGCCTGCAGGTTCTTCGACCTCTTCAGGTGCTCTACCATCCTTCCAGTCACCTTCCCCGCCCTGATCTTGTTCGCGAGCTTCACGATCTCCCCCCACGACGCGTCCTTGCCAATAAACTCCTTGAGCAGGTTCCTTGCCGACCTCTCAGCCTCGCTCTTCCACTCCGACCTGTAGAACTTCATCCTCATCGAAGGAACGCTCTCCCTCCCTTTCACGATCTGTTCGCACCACCAATTCTTGCCCCGCAGGTCAGGAGCGCGGTAGAGGATGGTATCGTATGCCAGCTCGATGTCCATCGACAGGAAGGGGTACCTCTCACAGCACGAGGCCTCATCCTGCCCCTTCTCCGCGAGCATGGAAGGATCCGACGCGGAGAGATGAGCATGGAACGCCGCATCGAAACTTTCAGGCTGCGGCTGCAGGAGCGCCCAGCAGGCGAGCGCCAGGTAAATGGCGAGTCCGACTGACCCGCCATAGAATGCGTATCGCCGTTCCACACGGCGTTCACCAGCCTCCAGCATCATCCCGTGGGAATGAATCATCGGCTATGAGCGCACTGGACGGTTGCTTCTAGGTTGGATCATACCCCCTCCCCCCTTCCCTGGCCAGCACGTCACTGCCCAATGCAGCTAGACGGGCAGGGGAATCCCCTAGAAAAAGCAGAATGGGGGTCAGACAAGGATCGAATCCATGGTTTCATCTTTCCAAATACCCTCGCTTCCCTTCCTCTACCTTCCTCTCCCCGCCCCTCTCTCACTTTTTGCCCCCTTTCCCGACTCTTGGTTTTCTCTGTCCCATCTCTACTTAGCTGGCCGTCCGTCTGTCTTCCTGGCTCATCTCCTGCCCTGCTCGTGCTCCTCTCGACCCTGCTCCCTGCTCTGTGCTCCCCTCCTCCACACGCTCCTGGTAGGGCGACACCACCAAAGCATTCAGCATGCTTGTAGTCATAAATTGGTCAATCATGAAGCCTCATAGTCAAGATATCCCATATATTCCCGCACCCCCATAGTGAACATGTACCCCTCCTTTCGACTACAAAAGTACCGGTGTGATTAACTCTTGATAATGAACCCACGGTCTGCAAAATTACCCCACCCCTTGAAAGAATTTACCCCTACCACCCCTTATCAAAAACTCCTTCGCACCCCTCGATTGACTTGTATTTCCTGATGTCGCGCATAAGTACCCCACCCCATAAGTACCCCACCCCTTCCTCCACCACCCACCCCTTACCAAGCCCACGGAAGTGTACGAAATCTCGAAGTCAATTTTTATCATTATGAGGCGGACTTGCAAATATCCGTTACTTGATCGTTTCAATCGTTACATATCCGTTGAATCTTGACGATGATTCGGAAAGCAATGCACCAGTGTTGGAGGCCAGCGGGGAGGCTGATGGCGATGGCGATGATGATGGCGGTGACAATGAGCGGGACAAGCGCGGTAAGACGATGTCTCCCTTGTGAGCAAGCAGGATGGCTGCCTACCTGAAGCCTTGCCTCGCTCACGAACCTCCTCCATGCCCCTCACCCACTACATGGACCTCACGGGGAGCTGATAAACGTGCAGATTGCATCGCCACATGTCATCGAGATTGATCCATCAAACTTCGAAAGATTGCTCTCTGAAGGACAGTGGTTGGTCGAGTTCTATGCACCATGGTGCGGGTACTGCAAGCAGTTCGAACCGGCCTACGAGGAGGTGGCTTCCTCCCTCAAGACCCAAGGCTACCGAGTCGGCAGAATCGATGGGTCAATGCACAAATGTACGGTCTTGAAGCGCTCTTTGTGGGTGCTGCTGTTGCTCTGATCTCATGCCCTCCAGCTCTCGCAGCTCGATTCGCGATCCAAGGCTTCCCCACAATCTTCTAGTGAGTTGCTGAGGGAACAAGACAGTGGCTGAGTTTGTTGGGTGCTGTCCAGCATTCATGGCCAGAAGATCCGCAAGTATTCTGGAGAAAGGAGCTGGGAGGCCCTGGTGAAGTTCGCGGGGTCTGGATACCAAGAAGAGCCAGAGGCCTTCTCCTCGCTGATCAATCCGCTCTCGCCATGGTGCGCCGTCCACCTCACGTTACCAGGGGGAGAATGTAGAGTGACAAGCGTGTACAGGGGGAAAGTACTTGGGATGGTGGTCTCTTCAATCGTATACTTGCACGTAAGTCGATGTTGAATCCTCTGCGGTTTGTTTCCAGGATAGTGTTAAGTTCTTTCATCGTTTACAGGACAAGTACGAGTATTTGCGAGAGGAGTTCTCCCTCTCGCACACAGTGCTTCTTGCTCTTTTGGCAGTGGCGTCGATGGTCATCGGAAGCTTCATAGGATTGGTGATCGCAAGCTTGATGCCGGGCAAGAAGAAAGCTCCACAGCACCAAGACTGAGAAGTATTGAATGAAATCCCCCGCACCAAGACTGAGAAGTATTGAATGAAATCAACAAGAAAGGGCTTGCTTGCTTCCTCTATTGTCTTGTACATGGTGCGTCGGTAGGAGCAAGCAGGAAAAGAGTAGTAGTTTACTTTTGCTGTGTCACATCCATGTCTTTGCATGCGCTCTGCAGAAAGGACGATGCTCACTGACCGATCACAACGTTGGTTATGCTGTCTTGCAACTCCTGATCCACAGTCTCCAGCCTCGCCCTCGCAACCCGCACCTGCTGCTTCGCCAGGTACATGTCTGTCGGCAGCCCATGATATCCCTCCATCTTCTTGCGCAGCGGGTGCAGCTGGTCGTGCAGTGCCTTCACCGTGTTGGATTCATGGACGAGGCGGGGATGGTAAATCTGATCGGAGACGTTATTCTTCTTGAGCTCGGCCTTGAGCCGCGCAATCTCGTTCCTATACTGTATGGACTTCTTCTCCAGGATCTCCATGTCGCGCTGCTTGCAGACATTCTCCTGCTGCTCCTGCTTCTCCCTCTCAACCAACCGCTCCCGGATGGATCGCACCTCACTGAGCACCTCCATCATCCCCTCTGTCTTCCTCTCCATGCTGGCAGCCTCTGCATCCTTTCGAGTCTTGATCTGGCGCAACTTCGCCATCTCCCGTTCGATCTCGCTGTATGCCGATACCATGGAGCTGACCTCGCACTCTTCGACTCCTAGGATAGAAGCCGAGGAGCTCAGAGTCTTGAGAGTAGAGACGATGGTGGGAATCATGCGAGACTGCGTGAGGCCGGCATACGACAGCTCGTTCTTGATGGTTGCTGTTTCCTGCTCGTACCACCGCGTTCGATTGACCAGTTCCTCCTCGACCTGCGCATTGGACATTTCGGTCAACTCCCCTTGCTCGAAGCGTAGGGCGACTTGATTTCTCGATGGTGCTCAGGGAAGTTTCTGATTGTATGAAATGTAATTCAAAGCTCCTGCAACCAATCAACACCCAGTCAGCAACCTCTCAATCGATTGAGAGGATTGAACAGCACCCATTGCTGATCGTCATAACAACCTCTACGCATCATCCTTGGTATGTTTTAGCAAGTCAATTCACATCATGTAAGATTTGAGTTGTTGGCATAAACAATTTTCTGAACCAACGCAACATGCAGCGATGGGCTATCCTGTTCTTTCATGTAGAACCTTCAAGTGCTTGTCATTCTATCTGCTACAACTTCTTAGCTTTTGCTGCTTCACAACCTTCAAGCCTGACAAGAAGAGAGATTTGAAGGCTCGTCCACTCAAAGTTCCTTGTGCATCTTCAGAAAAACCTTATTGCCTACTTTCTCGTCTCTCTCCTCCCTCCCCTTCTCCCTCGTTCTCCTCCCCGCCTTCCTGGCCTACCATTTCAAATCTCCAACACGCCTTTCGAAGCTTGGAGAGGTGGGTAGTGAATAGGCAAAGCAGGGTGGTCAATTACGAAGGGGTGCTGATGAGAAAGCAGGGGGTGGGGGTAAAAACAATGTTGATCAATTATATCAACAAGTAGGGGTGTTTACATATAAAATATAAGGTAGGGGTAATTCCCAAGGGGGTACAAAAATGCAAAACAGGGGTGGGGTATAGTCAACCCCCCGGCTTCTCAATGGGCTTGTTCACATCGGGGACGCGGTGGATCGTTGGAGCGCTTGCTGGGGGAGCAGGTGGGGATAGAGCTGGACTGAGAGTAGAGCCGAGCTGAGATATGGACAGGCTTTCTTCTCTGGACAGGACTTGACAGGTTTGCTCCGGGAGCAGAGAGTTTGCTGGGACTGGGTATGCGATGCGTAGTCCTGCCACCATTTCTTCCGTGCTGCCTTCCTCTCTATGCTTCATCTCGTGTCCTCCTGCCTGCCTTCTCATAGCAAATATTTCTTCCTGTCCTTTCCGTCCCCTCCGCAGCGGATTCTGATGGTTCCCTGAAGATTCTTTGTCGCGAGATTCATCGTCCCGTTACAACGAGCTCGAGCGGCAGATCGCCATCTTACAGGAGCAGCTACACGAAGTTGCTGAGATCTCCAACGTCTCTTGAGAGAGTCCATGAGAGGCTGACGACGCTGACAAGCTTCTTTGTCGTGTAGAGGAGGGGCATGGCGACGCTGGCTCTCGTCCGGGTCGCCTTCCACCTCGTAGTGTTCGGAATGGCATCATGGCGGATCCATCGGGTGAAGGACGGTTGCAAGTCTCTCAAGGTCGACCAGCATGTTCTCTGCCTCCTCTCACACGCTCCTCCTCAACTCAGAAGCGCGTGTCTGCCATGCTCGACATGCTCGACGGACTTGGAATGAAGTGGTAGGTGCGGTGGGTGAGGAGAAGGAAATGATATAACTTGACTGTCTTTCAGGCTTCCGAGCATGTTCCGACTTGAGGTTGGTAGGGCAGAAATCCTCCTACACTGATGCATGCCCTTGCTGAGAAGGCAGAGGGAAGACGATCCAATGGGGGAGAACGTCCCGGAGACACTACGGCGAGCAAGGCAGAGGAGAGCGAGGGGCGGGATAGCAGCTTCGAACGAAGTGAGATGTACAGGGACAGGGTGATGCAACTGGCCGCAGACATGGAGGCAAGGTGAGCAGACATGAGGAGGGGAGCATGCGCGCTACAGCGATGCGCTGAGGAGCGAAGTGACTATCAGTGTGTCTTGGACGGAGCAGGTTCGCACAGATGGATGTAAGGGTGTGCAACCTTCAAGCTGACCTGGTCCAGGAGATCCGTAAGGTATCTTCATGTGCTGCTCGTGCTGTCGGGCGACGTGACGTGTGCGAGCAGTTGAGGGACTCTTGCTCCACCCAGAGCATCCGAGTGGCGGTTTGAAGGGAAGAGAGCTCCATGAGCAGAGCAGCGACTTTTAAAAAGAAATTCAACAGTGGGAGACGAGGCAGAGTGAAGTATGTACAGCCATGACAGACTCCCGTCCCTTCTCGTGGAAAATTGGCGAGAGAGCCATGGCAAAAGCGTGAGGCTGGGAGCCTTGTTGCCTACCCCGGAACTGCCTCTGCTGGAGGGGGTAGAGGCTCCTCCTCCTCCTCCTCCTCCTCCTCTGCTGACGAATCATTCTCAATAGCACGTCATCACATGCACACAAGGGCTGCACCTTCTCCGACTCCCTTCTGCTCGAGCAGCGTCTGAACGAGGAACAAGTCAGGGAAATCACCAAGGAGAACCGCTCTCACCGGCTCCTTGCTCGGCACTGATGGCAGCTCCAACTGCTCCTGAGACGAAGCAAGCGTCAGCCCCCAGGGTAGGAGCACGGAAAGGGAGGAGACGAGGAGGATGAGCACGAGTGAAAGGAGCCTTAGGGTTCGCCCCACCATAGTTACTCCTGCTTCTCCCATCATGGAGTCCAGCTCCCGGTTCATAGCCTTGTCATCCCAATCAGTTGTCATGACCAGTGAACCCCGCATGCCGTACCTCCTCCTCCTCCGCGTCGAAGTTTCCAGCCAGCATTTCAGATATCCGACTGTATCACCAGGGTCAGACTCTGATCGTTGGCCCTTCCCCCCCCCCCCCCCCATACTTCTGACTCTCGACGGCGTCAGCTGACTCGTTCATCAAGTTCTCGACATTCTCCAGCGAAAGCTACGCAAGAGATCAGGGGCAGCCCTCCCTCCCGCTCAGCCCCTCCCTCACCTCCTGTCTGATCTCCTTCAGACTTTCGCTCCCCTTCTTCATGGCGAGGAACACCTGAAGGACAGTCACGCGGCTGAGGGGAACAGCTCGTAACGCCCCACCTCCTTGTCTCTCTGCGCTGTTTCCACGCCACTGATCAGCTCCTCCATGTGCATCACCTGGCCGGCAAAACCGCATCAGACGAGCGACTACGTTACGTTACCCTCCCACCTGATCCAACACCTTGGTCAAGCGGCGAGTGTGCAGCTTCTTCTTCTTCAACGCCAGGAGCGCGCGATCTTTCTTCTTTTCCTGTCAGTCCGTCACACCAGCGTCCTCGCCCTGCACCCGAGCTACCTTGATCAACGCTGCTGCAACCTTCTGTGCTTGATCGATAGCTGACTGGATCTGCCAGGAGGAGGTCAGAGGCTGGGAGCGAGAAGGCAGCGGGTGACTTGTTTCTGATGCTGCAGCAGCTTATCTCTCTGTCCCTTGAGCTCGAGCTACATGAGCAAGTCAAATAGAAAGCACACAGCAAGCTTGCAGCACAATCGCCATGTCAGCCTGACTGATCTTGGGGTTCTTTTGCTTCTTCTTGGCCAGCAAGTTGCCCATGGTGCCGAGAACAACCTATCACCAAGTTCGATCTGTCGCTGCACTCACGCGTCAATCAGCAGGACTTCACCAAAGATGTGTAGGCATCAGCATCGTCCTCAAACTCTGTCTCTATCTGCATCTTCCTTCTTGTAGCTACTTGTGAATCTCGGCTCGAGCTCCATGCAACCTGCATAACTTTCCTTTCTCCTCATCTCATCTCCTGTCCTGTCCTCTTCGTTATTCTATCCCTTGCTCTGTCCTGTCGCAACCTACAAGGGGTTGTACATGGCAAACAATAGCTCTGAGGCGAGCTGCTGGTGGACGAGCTCGCCTCGCCATTACGTGGCAGAGCCTACACGGCGTGGGCTGCCCGGCTACTACCGTGCCCGGGCCACAGTGGCGGCCACCCAGAGCCTGGACCGTTTACAGATTCGAGGGAAGCGTCCAGGCAAGGAGCGACAATGGGACATCAAGTTCCGAGTTCTTCTTCGAAGTGACGATCATTACACTACAACTTTCAGCAGTTTGAGATTGAAGCTCTGCCCCGGCTCAAAATACGGCCCAGGGTCATGTTTCACCCTCCCCACCTCACATCACTCTCTCCCTTCCTTTCCACTGCAAACTTCGAAAACGCCAGTTATCTTCCTCATTCCTCGCCGCCTTGGCTCCTCGACCCTCATACGATGCCCATGGCTGTGGCTGCCGCCTTGGCTTTCAGCCGCGTCGTGTTGATCCCGAGGCTGCTGGCATTCTTGTCTTCAGCCGTGTGAGTTTCACCTTGCAAGACAAACTTCAGTGTCGAACAGCAAGCTCCTCTATCTCACCCTTGATATGAGCGAGAATGTACATGAGCCCGTCCAAGAAGTAGAACACCCCGAACAAGATGCCGAAAATCCCTCCTCCCAGCTGTGTAGCAACGACGAACGTGAAGATGCTGATGCCGATGTAGAGCAGCCCACGGATCCAGTAGATCTCAAACCACACCATGAAAGGTTGGATCTTCTGACAGATAGGAAAGCACGTGCAACAGAAAGGGAGCTCTAGAATTCCCACCACTATGGATATCAGGATGAATAGAATGCTGCTGGGGAACATGGTCCTGTGCATAGCGTTAGGGGAGTGGAGTAAAGTTGATGAGAGGAAACTCACAGGAAAAACATGATAGATATGAAGATGGTGAAGCATACAAGGGAAACACCGCCCCATCTCGCCCAGGTCTTGAATTGCCCTTCTTTAAATTTCTGTTTGATATCCGCAAAGAAGCCTCCTCCTCCTCCTCCCTCGGTTAGAAGTCCTTGCATGTTGAAAGGACAAAGGTGGCAGACAAGCCCTACTGGTCAAGAAAAGTCAAACGACACGACAATATCAAATGATCCTATTTTTCGATCAAATTCAACCAAACACGCTAACATACTTCCCCATCACGCCTGAAGACAAAAAGACTCCATGCCCGACCAGCTAGAAATAAAATTCTATAATGAAGACCGTGCTTGCTAGTGAGAAAGGGGTCTCCTCCCTCTTCCTCCTTTCTGACCAACCGACTCCCTCTGTGGCCCGCGAGATCCGATCGAATCATGTGTTAGTGCTTTTCATGGATAACCAGATGCAATGGTCGCTACCAATGAACCTCTTCCTTATTTTCAAGATCATTGTCTCAGCATCCTTCATTCTCCTCCCTCTTCTTTTGTCCTCTCTCCTCTCACTTTCACTGTTCCCCATTCAGCTTCCCTCCATTTCTCGTCCCCCCTCTACGTCGCCTCTTCTCCCCGAGTCCGCCTCACTGCTCACCACTCCATTTGGGTGGGTGGTGGTGGGGTGGGGTACAACCGAGGAGGAGATGTTTGCGGTGGGGTACATAATTAATTTACCTCTGAGGGTAGGGTAGTATACTTCAGGGGGTACTGTAAAGGAACTTTCCGTCACAATCAAGGGGTGTGTCCCCAGCTACTGCAATGGAATGTGGGGGTAGGTGATGTACTACAGGTTCAATAGATGGTGGGGTAGTTATTTGTTTCTAGCTTGGGGTGCAAAGGACCATTTCAAAAATCTCTTTCTATATATATCGCTACTGCACCTTCAGTTATAACTCGGCGGCTGGTCAAGGTGTATATCACCCCTACCTTTTTTATTATTGTAGAATCCTCCTCATTCCGCCAATTCATTCACTCGTCGGTTCGAACCCCAGTATGTAAATGTGTATGCAACCGTTGTTGCCGTTATGTAGCACATCAATGTCGTTATTGCCGTTATGGCTTCTACACCCCTCTCCATGACTACCCCACCCTACCCTACCCCCTCCCAGAACAAAATCAACGCATACCCTCTACCCCTTACCTCGACTACCCCTGGAATCTTTTTCTAATTGATTCGGTTCTATTTCACTACTAGTGACCGGTACTTAAAGAACCGTACCCCACCACTTTCAAAGAACCCCTCCAGCAGCCCCTTCAATAGGAGGATATTCCCATAGCACAACCACCCCCACCCCCCCCATCTCCAGCTTACCCCTACAATCCCATATACCCACCCCCTCCCCCATCAAAGGCTTTTTCCCCAAATCCCGCCGCAATGGTGAGCGAAGCATGGACTGTCTGTTACCTCTCCCTCGCGTTCTCCGTCCTCTCCAACTCCTTCCTCCCTTCTTTTTGCAATATCTTCCTCCCTCCTCATAACGCCTCTGTTGACATGCCATGCCATCTTTTCTGCTCCGTTCTCTTTATGGCTTGTTACCCACCTGTAGCGCACTGCAGTGTCTGCACTGGCTTCCGCTCCTTCAGCTATCTTTCTCTCTCTCTTTGTTGAGACCTCTTCCTCCATCGGGAAATATCATATATGATCGACTTTGATGCATGCATGGCGGTTCTACATGTCGGAAATTCCCCGTTACTTTGTCCTCATGTCACATCTTGGACGTTTTCCTGGGTTTGTATTCCTATTGATGATTCTGGTTCATCTGGAGCCTTGATTGTGAATGCTGTTGTGAGGCATTTTTAAAAACTGTTTTCGTTGCGACGGAATCTGTATGAATACAACTCCGTGTAAGCCCTCTTGGTACTTCGTGCACAAAAGTTTTGTTTGGCATGGAATGCGTGGCGCATCCTCTCATGTTCTCTGAGACTGATTGTTTCCCTTTCCCGCAGCCCGGGGATGGATGCAAAGGCAACGTTAGATATGCGGCGATTGGGAGAATATCCGATCGAGTGCTAGTTGCTACCTACCACCACTTCACTGCAGGCCCTCCCTCGGCCAAGGTTGGAGCTGCTTGCTGAATCTTTCTCAATCTTCTGCGATTTGCCCCTCCTCCATTCGATGCTTCCTGCATGTCTGACCTTCCCTGTTGCAGTATCTTGCTGTTGCACAGAAAGTTCTGAGCAGCGATAAAGTTCTATCTCAGCAGAGTGCGAATGTTCCCAATGCTGTCGAAGACAGCTGCTGCCTCATGCAAGCCGACAAGAAGTACATGTACATCGGTGAGTGTTGCGACGTTGTATCCACTGCATCCTGACGTTGTTTGGACTATCTACTCATCATTGTTGAACAGTTTTTGTGGAGAAATCATACCCAGAGAGAACTGCTTTTGAGCTACTCAGGATGATCAGGAAGGACTTCACAGACAAGGATGCGACACAGGCTGAGTCGGCGACGGAGAATTCCATGAGCAAGACCGTCAAGAAGTGGATGAGTGCGGCTTGCACCAAGTACGATGACTTGACCTCAGTGAACAAGGTCGCGGCAGTTCAAGCTCAGGTGAAGAGTTGTGCCTGCGATGCAGCAGATGGCTGAGGGGTTTGTTTCAGGTGGATGATGTGAAGATGACGATGGAGGACAACGTTCAGCAGATGTTGCGCCAGCATGAGAAACTTGAGGACTTGGAAGACAAGGCTGATGTTATGCGATCAGAGGCCGTCAAGTTCAAGAAGGGTGCGACACAGCTTGCCAGGAAGATGTGGTGGCAGAACTGCAGGCTCTGGGCGATTATCATCATTGTGACCGTCGTTGTGCTGATGATCATCATCTTCTCTGTTTGCCCGCCATGTAGAGGACAGAGATGAGCCTGGCGGACATAGAAACGTTCGTGCTGCTTGAGACCTCGAATGGTCCTCACAGCAAGCAGACATCGACTGTAGCGTGACTGAGGGTGGAGAGTTGATGTCATTCAAACGGTTCTTCAGGAGCTCGAGTCATCAATGAGTGCACCAAGATGCCTGATTGAAATCACTTTGTGGTCTTCTGAACCGTGAAGATTCCTGTGCTCTTTTAAACTGATTGCAACAATATTGAATATTTGAACTGATCGTTCCGTGCTCGGGTCGATTCCTCATTACACAGATATGGCAGTTACTTGATTCATTTGGGCATTCTGCTATCAAACCGTATCAGGTTCTAACTCTATTTCTTCCCATGCAATCAGCTTCGGGGTCAGACTCCTGGGTCTCACTTGGCTTCGTCCGGGTGGGTTTGGAAGTACCTGACGCCCACGGGTGAGCTCACGACTAGACGGAATGCTCTCACCCTTCACGCCTCAGAATGTTCTTGTGCTGTGACTCGATCTTGTTGTCTCTCTTCTGCTCGACGGCTCAGCGGACGATTGCCACAGAAAGCAACTCACATTCAAGAACTTGAAGTACCGATCCATCTCCCCAGGCTTCTGGGTGGTCGACCACTTGTAACCTGATTTGGACAAGATCTGCTTGTTGAGCTTGTTGAAGTACCTGCAACACGTTAATGCATTATCAGGGCCAAACGTCCCCACGCGCGCTCCAACTCACTTGTTCATGTCGTTGGCAGCCTGCTTGCGCGACCAGCTCCTCTCTTTATGTCCCTGGACATCCCAGATCAGAAGGACAAGGACTTGCACGAGGTGGCTGCGGGTACCTGAGAGCGGATGTCTCCTTGGATCCCTTCCCCGTACATGGCTTCGTCAACGAACACCCTCCTTGATGCCTTGGGCGTTGCTGTCTGTGAACGCATCCTCAGTCGGCAAGGTGAAGAGGAAGAGAACGATGAGGATGTTTATGTCCCACCTGGGAAAGCATAGAGGAAGGGGCCTTGGCCTTGATCACCTTCTCATGCCTGAGCTGTGAAGGTTGTCAGCACTCCTCTCCCTTTCTGTCTCATCTCCATCCTCTCACCTGCTGCTCAATAGAGTACAGGCCATTGTCTTGAGCTTCCATCGTGACTTTCATCTAACATGTCCTCCCTAAGTTCTCCCGGGGAGCTGCCGGCAGCACTCACCTTCTCAACCTCTTTTCCAAGCTTTCCCGATGGCAACTTCTCAGGCAATCTCTTCTCAATCTGATGGATTCTCTTGCGAGCATGTTGCAGGTAGTTGAGAAGCTTAGATACAAGATGTCATGGATCTACTCGAGCATCCTTATGCCCAAAAGAACTTACCTTCGCTTCGTTTGCATTTAGATCGTGGTTCTCTTGATAGGCATACCTGCACAATCGAAGGTCGGAATTGGCTCATCGTTAGTGCAAGAAGAGCCTTACTTTCCAGTGGTTGGGAGGATATCATCGATTCCTTTCCAGGCCTCCCCGGGCTGTTGCCAAATGTTCTGAAAAGCAGAACTTCAGCAATTGACACAACTTTCTCCGAAACGACCTTGACAGTTTGGTCGTCAAGGTGCTGAGACATGACAGTGCGAACGTGGGAGGAGCTCCAACTTGTGCATGAAACCGTGAGCATCTCACTGGTCCGTCTCCGCATCCCCTCACCTTCTAGGCTTCCAATCTGCTTCCTCCCCAAGTGATTGTGTCCTAGCAGCCATGAGCTGTGTGCGGCGACTGGGCGCAAGAACGACGAGCACGACGAGCAGGGCAGCAGCAACTGAGGCAAGAGCAACGAACACTCTGCTCCTGTTGTCGACTCTCCTTGTCCTCTCTCCTCCTCCTCCTGCTCCTCCTCCCAGTGCCATCGTCCCGTACGACATTTTGCCGAAGAGACAATCTATCCTTTACTCAACATTAATAACTAAAAGTCAGTACCTCTATCAGTCTTCATACTACAGGCTACCGTTGCTCGAACTGCAGCCCCGGCCGGCCCGTTACCGTCCCGGACTCGGGAGTCCGCCGGCCCGGGGGGCGGGCACTGGCTACCGTAGTACCGTGCGAGTCACTGCCGGCGGCGGGCCCCGGCCCGGCCAACTTGGGGGCGGCCCGGCTGCTGCAGCACAGTGACTGACAGTGTCAAAATACAGGCTGATCATCGGATAGTCAAGCCGAGTTTTGCACAACCTCAAACCGAGTTTAATTTTCATCACACACCCGGAAACAGGCCCGGCGCCCCCAGGTTGACGCCCGGGAAGCGGCAGAGCCCCGCTGAGACTTCCGATACAGCGCCACTGGGCGGGCCGCCGCTGTCGAGATCAGTATAGTGTGAGGGGGGTGCCACCGCCTTAAAGATTTAACAATATTTTTAAATACTAAAACTTTTTCTTACCCCGTTCGTTACAAGATGGAGTACTGAAACTCAAATGAGTAATGAAAATTTGTGAAAATAGTACCAATTATATATAAAAGTTGTTTATATGTCATACCACCTCAGTTCTTCATAATCCAAATCCACCAAAGTTTCCTACCTTTGAACCATACGATTCTTAATATTATCTTTTAAAACAAGGGTACACATTTAAAACATACTTTTAGTATCCAGCTTCGATCTGTGCCCGGCAAAATGCGCTTTTCAGGGCAGGCAAACCAGCCGCGAAGGCTGCGGCAGATTATGCGTCATGGTAGTAAAACGTTGAGGAGAAGAGATAATTTGTGATCATGAAATCATTCCAGAACAGGATGGTTGCGATTCTGGCAGATAGAAAGTTTATGAGAGGTTCGCAACATCAGTCAAGCTTAGAATAAGATCGATACCTGTTGTCACTTCAAGACCAAGGAATCGATTAGTTGTTCAGAGTCGCGAGATGATTTGGTCTCCTACGAGCTAGAGAATGATGATGGGAAGAGGAATGAGAGACAGAAAAACGGGTGAACGAGAGTCAGGACAATCAAATCGTGCGAGTGGGCGATATCTCAAGGAAGACTCGGTGATGATGTTAGAACATACTTGATCTCAGGGGTGCGGATGACATGTATGCAAGGACTAGGTCAGTCGAGGTTCTGCCGTAAGGCCCTTCAGGAGGAACAAGTGAATGGGAATAAGCAAGAGGGCAATCTTCACAAACCTGCGTGCATAGTGGATTTTCGTTTCTCTGCTTGATCCCGACCCATCGACTGACCTCTCCCCCTCTACTCTCTCCCCCTCTCTCCCCCTCTCCCTCCCTCCCTTTCTCCCTCCCTTTCTCCCTCCCTCCCTCCCTCCCTCCCTCCTCGTCTATCTCACATCAACATCTCACCCCATCATCCTCCCTTCATCTCACTGCTGACAGCAGTTGTGCAGTTGGGACACCATGACAGAGACAGCAGAAGAAAAATTCTTGAAACGTCTGGAGCAATTTCAGGACGAAATCTCCCGCTTGAAATCGGGATACAAGATCGCTATAGACAATGAGCACAAAGACAAGCTAGAGATCATGCGGATCACTTCCAAGGTGATCGCTTGCCCCTTGGGAGAGACCCGGCCATGGTGACGGGCGAACCTTGTGGCAGGTCATGCGTACATGCGAGGCAATGAGGCTGATGTGTGGGTCCTTCGGCAGACAGTACCTCGACTCTTCCTGCCTTCCCTCGACTCCCCCTAAGAGGAGAGCAGAAGTCGATCTGGGTCAGAAGCGAGGATGCGAGCGAGCTGGGTTGCTGACTGTCAACAGAGGAGGTCGTTGGGTCCCAGAATATCCGCCGGAAGCTCTTTTGCCGAGATTGTGAGATGACTGCTGAGATGCGATGGCAGTGGTGGAGGTGGAGATATTGGAGATGGAGATGGAGATGGAGATGGAGATGGAGATGGAGATGGAGATGGAGATGGAGATGGAGATGGAGATGGAGATGGAGATGGAGATGGAGATGGAGATGGATACGATGGTGATGATGGTGGTGGTGTTTGGATGATGATGACGACGGCATCTTCGACGGCGGCTAGAGAAATGATTTTCTGACTGTTTCCTCAGATTCTCGCCGGCGGACGTTGCTTATTGACCTCCCGGACTCTGTAATCAATCATATATACAGTTTTGTTGGCCACCGGGTGATCCCGCACATGGCTGTTTGCAAGAAATTCCGGTAGTCGATGGGGAGAGGAGGAGATTTTCCTTTTCATCAACTCGCAGAGAATGTTTGTCGAAACCAGAGGCAGTTTCCATCGAGGTCAAGCACTCTTATGCTCAGAAGGTACTCTTTCTCCTCCTGCCTGCCTGCCTGCCTGCCTGCCTGCCTGCCTGCCTGCCTGCCTGCCTGCTTTTCGTCCTTCCTGCTTTATCATCTCCCATCCACCTCTTTTTCTCGGCTTTCTCCATCTCCTCTACTCCTCTGCTCCTCCTCGTCGTCGTCGTCCTCGTCTTTCTCTACTATCTGCCCACTGTTTCTATCCGACCACACTGACGAGGTATGTGCATCACAGGTTACGTCCGAGTATTTGGAGAAGTTTCAGTCCGGCGTGTCTTTGAAAGCAATGTTGGTTTACGCTGCTTGCTGTTGTGCCTGCTAAGTCTCGAGCAGAAACTGCGATGGGTTTCTCAGGCCGCTCGCCGACGCTCTGCATGGGGGATGGACGGCGTTGGTGAGTCTGGACTGAACAAGATCGCTGATGCCTGGCGGTTGTTGAAGGAGAAAGGAGGATTGGGCGATGAGAGCAGGCAGGAACTTGTGCACTATCTTGATGTTTGTTCTTGTCTGTCAGGTGCGTTTGGATCTCGTGGACAATCATCTGGAAGACAAGGGGGTAGTCGAGGTCATTGCAGACGCTTCCTCCTACCCTCGCTTCCACTCTCTCCCTCCTCTCCTCCTTCTCCCTTCCCCTCAGCTTCCTCCCCCCCCCTCCCCCTCCTTCGCTTCTCACTCCCTTTGCCTCCTCTTGACTCGCTGCTCAGCTCTCGAGGTCTCTTTCAAACTGCAGAGGGTTGACGAGTCTGTGCCTGAACACAAACAACTTCACCGAAGAGGTAGCTTGCTTGCTTGCTTGCTTGCTTGCTTGCTTGCTTGCTCTCGCCATGACCGACGTGTCTAGGGCGCCACACACATCGGCAAGTGCCTGCAGTCTCTGTCGGGGTTGAGGATGGTGAGCCAGCACGTGCGAGCGAGCAGCCGATGTCGCTGACCCTCCTGTCAGTTGAATCTGAGTCAAAACCCCTTCGGACGAGTCGGTATGGAACACATCTGTGACGGTCTAGCCAGCAGCGGTACCCTCGTCCTCGTCCTCGTCCTCGTCCTCGTCCTCGTCCTCGTCCTCGTCCTCGTCCTCGTCCTCGTCCTCGTCCTCGTCCTCGTCCTCGTCCTCGTCCTTGCCCTCGTTCCTTCCTCCATCCTCGTCCTCTTATCTCGCCTCTTACCTCTCTGACTCTCGCCTAGCTTCGTGTCTCCGCGAGCTCTGTCTCGGGCAGACCAACTTCGGCGAGGAGGGAGCTGAGAATCTGAGCCGCAAACTTACCCCACCTGAGGGCCAGGAGGGGATGCTGAAAAACCTTGACCTCTGCTCTTGCAACCTCAAAACAGCTGGACTCTCCGCCCTCCGGCCCCTCCTGCTGGCAAATCCGAACTTGGAAGTAAGTAGGAGGACGATGAGAAGCGAGGGAGAGAGAGAGGAAGCAGAGCAGGAGCAGGAGAGGGAGAAGTGAAGTTGGACAGAGAGGAGGGAGGAGGGAGGAAGGAAGGGGGGAGGAGGGGAGGGAAGAAGGGGGGAGGAGGGGAGGAGGGGAGGAAGGAAGGGGGGAGGAGGGAGGAAGGAAGGGGGGAGGAGGGAGGAGGGAGGAGGGAGGAGGGAGGTGATCGAGAAGCAGCGAAGTAGAGGAGGGGAGGAAGGGTACCTGATATGGATTCTTGGACAGTCGATTGGGCTATCGCGGAATAACATCTGTGAGAAAGGAGCGCAAATACTTGCAGACTGTGTTGGCAGGTGAGGAGGAGGGGGGAGGAGGATGAAGAGGAGGGGAAGCAAGGGGAGGAGGGGGAGGGGAAGCAAGGGGAGGAGAGAGAGAGAGGAGGGTTCTGATGGATTTTGAAGTCGACTGGTCGACTTATCTCTCTCCTTCAATGAGATTGGAGATGAAGGAATGAAGGTGAAAGACCTTGATCTCCATCCTGGTGCCGTTGTCTGACGCTTTCCTGCTCCTGCTCCTGCTCCTGCTCCTGCTCCTGCTTCTGCTCCTGCTGCTCCTGCTGCTGCTCCTCCTTCTCCTGCTGCTGCTCCTCCTCCTCCCGGTGGCTGTCGAGCAGTCGTTGCTCCCCCTCTTGCAGCGATCAAAGAAGATGGTACACCTGCTTCTGATCGGCATCGCACTCGGTAAAGTTGCGAGGAAGATACTGAGAACCGCTCTTTCCTTCCTCTCCCTTCGTCCCCGTTCGTTGTTGTTCCCTCCCTCCTCCTCCTCGTTTCTCCTCTTTCTCTTGTCCACCTCACTTCCTCTACCCCCCTTCGTTGCTTCCCATCCCCTGCTCTCGTTGCTCCTGCTCCTGTTCCTGCTGCTCCTGCTCTTGGCACAGCTGCTGCTGCTCCTGTTCCTGCTGCTCCTGTTCCTGCTGCTCCTGTCCCTGCAGCTGCTCCAATCACCATCTCTTCTCCTGTCAGCGCAGTCACTTTCATTCACCTGCAGGTCTCGACGGAGCCCAGGAGCTTCTCCCTGTGAGCAGCAGAACTCTCGAGAGTTTCTCTTCCCTGCTTCCTCCCCTTCCGCCTCCTGTTCCACTCCCTCCCGACACACCTCCCCTCCCTCCTCTGCTCTGCTCTGCTCTGCTCTGCTCTGCTCTGCTCTGCTCTGCTCTGCTCTGCTCCCCTCTCGTCTCCTCTATCCCTGCCCTTGTCTTGTCTTGTCTTCTCATTTCTGACTTCCTTTCAGGTCGTGCTGGAGATGAAACTCTGCGCTCGCTCTGCATGTCTCTTAATCTCTTCGGTCCAAAGTGAGGATGGCGGGGAGGGGAGGGGAGGGGAGGGGAGGGGAGGGGAGGGGAGGGGAGGGGAGGGGAGGGGAGGGGAGGGGAGGGGAGGGGAGGGGAGGGGAGGGAGGGGAGGGAGGGGAGGGAGGGAGGGAGGGAGGGGAGGAATGTCAGGGCTCACAGACTC